ATATCAGCTAAATAATTATTTAGGAAGTCTGTGCGTTCAGTCTCAATGTGGGAAACCCGTTCTGCTCTATCAAAAAAAGACTAAGTGGTTTGTGGTTTTTTAGGGCAATCGAAATACTTAATATACAATTCTGAATGTTTACGCTTAGTGGAACGCACCTTATCGCACTATCTTCACAGCCATCTGTTGGTTCACATGTAAATCACACCAAGCAACCACTCTGCCGTAAAAATTTTCAATACACCGTTTAGGAAACGAGACAGTGTCCTAGTGAACTCAACCAAAGCCCAGACTGATTTACGTAGTAGCCAGAAAGTCTGAGTGATTTTGCTAGTCCGTTTGACGTCAATGAAACATCTCATAGAGACTGAACTTCCCAAATTATTTTGACCCGCTATGATTTTCACAGGTTTTGTTAGCGTTTTTCTTCACAGAAATTCTGTATTATATATGTAAGAAGCTCTTTTACGATATATTTTCTGCCCATTTTAGCATGTATCGCAACAACGTGACAAAGTCCGAGCATGTCAATCAAATAACTCTTCATTGCGGACACGATTTGACCTTATTTGCATAAGGTGGGAATAAAGTGAAAAAGAGTCGAAATACAGAAAATTTTCCTAGCTCAGAAAACACTTTATGAATAGTGTCTGGCCAATTTGTTTATCAATTACTTTCTTTTCAAGACAGTAATAACTATTGGCATTGTAAAACTGTTTTATCTATACCATATCGGCTACTTAAACGTTACTTTCTTCAACATCATTAATGTGTACTCATTTGTCTCCTGTCAAGACTCAGAAAGTCACGTAAGTTCAGCTTCTCTTGATAGGACTTGTCTTGAGCATATACGTGTGGAGAAAGTTTCCATGAGTCTTTTTCGCTCTAATTTGACATTGGTTGGTTTAGTGCACCGGCGTCATACAAACGAAACGGGGGCCCTTTTACAGCGTGAGAAGCTTCTAGCCGAAGCAGAAACTTCTGTTACTTATTTTGTATTCATCGTGAGATAAGTGGCATTGTTCGCGATGAGGTTGAGTAACGAGAAGCTTTATCAATCCAAGTGGCGCAACAATGGTTAATATAGGCAGTAATCCGCCGAATGATCGTAAATAACAACTTTATCAACAGACTCTCTCTTATATTAATTTGGACACCTTGGAGTGTTTTTAGATATCGAGTTTAATGACCCAACAACTTGGCGAAAATACCGCTGTTCTGCTGTGTTGAAGTTATCTTCAATTTTACCCCAGTATTCATTACAGAGTAAAGATAATTTGACGAACTCCTGACATTTATGGTCACAAACTCACGAAAACAACACTCTACGCAAAGTTTAAATGCCCTTACTTTATTTTCCTCATTCCTCAACTAGTCATCCAAAACTAAACTTTAAAGTTAGATAGGATCGTAATTATTGGAACCTAGCTTTGTGTGTGATAAGCAGGGTGTGGGGTGACAAGTGCTGGACCTTGAAGCTTGATATTGGAATAAATAAGTTCAAATGTTTCGTGTTTGATATTTGAAGCGGATCTTCATTCAAATAATTTTTGCTAACCACATCATCGCAACAGTTACTGAAAATAAACATGAGTCTCTTCTCCTGGATATTTCTAACTATTTTAGTGTTCGTTTGATAGCAAAGCCACCGCAGAGACGAATATATAAGTCTAAAACATTCCTCATTCAAAACTTAAGGTGAGAATCATTTTTATAATAACCAAGACATGTTCCAAGCATTGCAATTGTCCTTGACCAACAGTGCCAGTTAGGTTCAGTGGTATTCGAAAGATTTTAAGTACGGAAATTCATGTACACTGAATGTTCCCACGGAAGCTATTTTGACTTCAAGCCGTTGCCTGTTGGGGTATATGTTGGAAGCCACAAAGGCGCAGCCAGGCAGAAAACACGCAAAATAAACTAGCATACCTTGGCGATCCGAAACGCAAGCAGTCTATTGTTGTAAATTAATTAGATCTTGTATGTCAAGGCAATACCAAAAACGTCAGGTAGACAAAACTATGTGAGAAGTTTCCGTTGCCAGATTAACTAGAGTTCGAGGTAACTTAAATCAGACTAAACTTAGAGTAGATTATTTGAACTTTATCCATCCATTATTCAAAGCGGAAGTGTAACAGCGGTGGTGATGTTTCTAGAGGGTTTATTTGTGAGGCGTAGCAAGGGAGTACACAAGGCATGGCGGGGGTGTAGCGAGGGTGTGTAGCAAATCAGAAAAAACAAAGCAGATTCATGACCCAGCAATGATTCTGCAATTTACAGTCGCCCGTTAATACTGCCCGTCACAAAGATTTTGCACTAAGTGTAACATGTCGATCACTATTAAGTGAGCAATTATATGACGTAGGTATGGCGTATTTGTAAAAAACCAAATGGCCGATGTGTAATACCTTCAAGTGCCTGGCGAATCAATCGTGTGTGCGTAACTCCAAAGTCGCACAAAGTAAGATTGATTACAAACTTTGACTATGATTGGATGGAATAATACTATTTACAGAACATACATCTTTAAGTTTACTCTACGGACTACCTTTGTGTGCAACCGGAACAAATAAGGCAACAACTGGAGTTTAAACGTATGCCTAGAGGCAAGCGTTTTGTAGGTTGCCAACCCTCTCGATTAATTCAACTTTAGAATTGAGCACATCGCCGGATTAGAGACTTACCTCTTAGAATCACGACTTGTACAATCTGCCAAAGCAGGTTTGAAATAACTCCTCTCGAACAATACGTTTGAGAATAAACTCAACTGTGAATTGTCCCGCTTGCTTTCTTCACCATGTACAATGCAGGACTGCAGTTGGATTACGTGGTTAGAATTAATTAGAAGGTTCCTATATATTTGGATAAGAGCACGTGATGTTCCTAATCCACCTTTTCTTTAGATTTCTATGCGCAATGACCACACAAACACGAAGAGCTATTTAATCCTATAATCTCAATGATAATAATTATTATAATAATGGTAATAATGACACGTTTATGGACTAAAAAGAATTGGTTTCAAAATTTATTTCATGCCCGGACATGTTCTTGTGATGTGAAAACATGCGACAATTCGGACGAAATCCTAGAGAAAAAACACTTTCATATTGATCAGCAGGCCTCGATGACAATTTTTCCTTTGCGGCGATTAAGAGTAACGCTGTGAATCACAGAACGAGTGGTGTAAAATAGCAAGAGATGTAACATAGAAAGAGATTAGAAAGATTTTCTTTCTTTTTCCTTTTTAAATATCTTTTTTTATACTTGTGTCCTTACCTATTTCATCTGTTCCATCTCATGTGTTTAAAAAGCAGGTCGGAAATATGACTTTCCAGTTTTTTTAAGGTCATGTTCACTTGCTTGCATGTTCACGTGATTGGCAATTTTTAGGATTCCAAGATAGTCTTGATAAATGCAGTGCGAGCTGCTCTTGCCTTCCCAAAATATTTGTTTAAGCTTTCAGTGTACCTAACATATGACTAACAATTGTTCACCGAAGTGGAGGTGGCCAGTAGGGGATAATCACCGAGCCACGAAGCAGTGAGTGAGGTAAATATCCACCGCAAGCCATCGACACCACAGAGAATAGTTGTTTAAGTATGTACTAAAACAGTGACATAAAATAGCTCAAAAAGATGATTGAAAATCTGTATTTCCCACAAAAATTCCATTATCATTGACGCAAATCCTACACGAGTTGCTTGCAGGTGAATAGCGAAGGACATTCGGAGCTTTGAGTAACCAATCAGAGCGCAACTTCAACGCTATCCATTGTTTTAGCATATACTAATGGAGATTATCAATGTCACTGCCTAGTGCAATGAATTTAGACGCATGCATGTGATACTATGTAGCTTACACATGACGAACACTGATTACATATGGCGTCTCCGTAAAATGAAGATAAAACAATATCGTTTTGATACTTTTTTCGAGGAAAAAAAATCAACTTAGTTGACATATGCTAGGAGAGCGCCAGGGGTTAAGGATTTCATGCAGAAGAATGATCGAGTAATGCGATTATGACACAGGGTCCACTATAAACGAGAAATTATAAACTATTTATAATCTCCTGTATAAACTGATAATTCACCGGCCTGGGGGTATCGATACCTACGTTAATGTTCAAACAAATACGTTTGCTCAAACAGAGTCTGATTGTACGTGTTAATCATGGCTTATTCTGAGATCTGTGACAAGATGTCTCCCGTACCACCTTACTCTTAATTACGGAACACAGTTTTTAGTTTTTGTACGTGACAACTGAACAGAGACTACAGCTATATTATTCCTTGAAGCCAGGTACCACATGACACTAAATTTCGTGAAGCAAAAACACCATGCTTTGGGCAAAAAAGCGGGTTTTCTGAGGTGATGAAACGTATGCGAAACGCTTGTGGCAAAGTTTAAAGTGACGAATCACCTCTTCAGAAACTATAGATGTTTAAACCCACTATGCAACCATTTCTTGAACTGTAAGGAGGCATTGTCACCAAATAATCAAATGACCATGTTTATTAAGGTTTTCTTCACGTTGAATGAGGACAGTGGAGTTTAAGTCTCGCAATACATCATTTTCGTAGAAAATACTCAGCTGATGGGTTTGGATCTTTACTGAAGTTTACGGTGATTGTATGAAAATAATAAAAGTGCATTTGTCGTAAAGAAATGAAAAGAGGAAATTAAAACCATGCAATATAAAACTATGAACTTGATTTTCTTAATTTAAAAAAGAACTGCATGTTCTACAGTTAAAATTAAAAACTGAGATTGAAAAATTGAAATTAAAAATATGCAATACAAAACGATGAAAACTTGATTTTCTTAATTAAAAAAAGAACTGCGTGTTTCATGAAAAGCTATGAATTTTTTCGAAGCACAATTTGAGTACATTTTGAAACGAACCGATGCTTTCTTCGTATGAGAAACGAAGACTTCGTATTTACAAAGAGGACTTCGTATTTAGAACATTTCACATACATATCATCAATCAGTTTTTAGTTGCCTTCCTGTTCCTCGGCTTTCTCCTCTTCTACAGCCTCGTTTTTTATTGAAGGTTTTTTCTGTAGCCACTTTTTTAACAAGGCCATAAACCACCCGAATACAGCAGACAGAAAGTTGCCAGTTCCAGGCCGAATGAAGTCACCCAATACCCTGCTGCCCTCGTTACCGACGTCACTGATAATTTCCATCATTATCTCGCCAGTAGATGCCTCATCCAGATCAATACCAACAGGGGTGTCAGGTCCTGAACCTCGCTCATTCCTTGACCTATTTTCTTCAGATTTTTGTTTGGGCAACGTTTTCGGGGGTGTTTGCCGCTTTTGTTCATTCAACGATTGGCTTCTGTTTAGCACACGACAGTCGCGATTAACATCAGCGTTTTGGTCATCCCACGGCCTCTGACTTTGATGAAAGTGGTCAAATCCCTGCTTTTGCAGCTGATTTCCCTCCATCAACTCAGGTCGTGGCGGGCTTATTCCTGATGATAGACCTCCTCTTCTTTCTGAAACGCAATTAAAACGGTCGATATTTGCAAGGAGAAACGTAGGTTTTGCACTTCTGTTTAAGCGTTTGAACGTTGCGATCCAGAAACACACGATCCAGTTTTCGATACTCGGTAGTCGACGCTCGCACAAATCTCCAGTGGGTACGAATGGCACTTTGATGATCGCCTCCTCTGGTACTCCGACTTTTAATACGACTTCTTGAATCTTCTTCTTAAATTTTCGGAGGCGGTCATCGAAAAACTCCTGTTCCGTCACGTCACTATTGCTGGGTGGTGGGTGAACCTCATTAGCAAATGTTAATGCAACAACAGCGTGCTCCCAAAGCTGTGGACCGAAGGCTTCAGTTAGCTTCTGAATCGTTATAATATCGTCGTTCCTGATTCGGCGATTACTCATCTCAGTGCAGAAAATGAATGCGTCAAAACCGGTTACATTTTCTTTGATTTTTTTTAGATACACTTCTTCGTTTCCAGTGCCATCTGCCAACCCAGGAGTGTCGACTATCGTTACACCCACGCCGTTCATTGAGAAGTTGTAAGGTGTTACCTATCAAAAAACAGGACATACAATGCTGTCACCTCTTGGAGATTAAGAGAGGAATAGGAAACAAAAGACGTATAAAGGTAGAAGAGAATACTTCAGGTAGAAGAAAATAGGTGATATTGGTCGGAAAAACCTAGTGGCGCTATGCGCCTTCTTGTGCGATATGTGTAAAGATGCTTGACCAAGAGTTGCACTGTCTTCTTTAATTTACCTCATATGTTTCTGCATTGAGATCTTCGCCTTCTCTGGCCAGACGTTTTCCAACGAGCGCGTTCGTCAAATGCGATTTGCCTACACCTGTTTTTCCACACAGCAGGATGGTTATGTGCTGTCTTCCAGACGAACAGTATTGTTCAAATTGATACTCGAAGCTGGGTAAGCCAGTTATCAGCCGCTTGGCTTGATCTTTGAGCGTTTCAGAGTTGAAATCAGGGCTCCCTCCCTCTGCCATTTTCACCTAAAATGTGGTAATGCACATATTTGACGAAATTACAAAAGTGCTGAACCGAAATCGTGTTTATGCATGAGTGGATCTAATTAGTTTTGTGCTAAGGCTGAGGTTTAATCGGTGTAAAAACAAAAAGGATTGTGATAGTTATCGATGTTCAAACTGTGACGGTACAGAATTCTACCCACAGTAAGATAAAAAAAGTAGTTATAATTAGGCGCTTTACACTATAGGGAATACGACCGGACTAAATAAGTTTATGGAAAAGAAAAAGAAACGTTGCAACGACTTCTACAGGTTTTCGATTTAATTTAAAAAAAACCTCATTGCCCCTAGAAATTACTATTTAATTTATCCCTTTGTATCCCATCAACATCAATCCCTAGCCGTAACCACTTAAACATCGTCCTAGTATAAGGAAAATAAAGCTCAAATCGAGATCATTTCCCTTAACACCCATTTATATTCCGTTAAGCCGGGGTTTTTTTTATTACAATATCTTACACCAACCCTATCTTGGGTTATATGATTAGAGCGAATTGGACAAGAACGGTTTGTCGAAAGAAGGAATTTTTCGTGGATCAACGTTCCAAACGTGGTCATTTCTTCGAAGAAACGTCGAGTTTCAGTGCTCAGTTGATATTAGCCTCGAAAACTGAGTTCTGTAGATCCTGCTTTTTGACCAGAGTGACAGTCTGAACTTATTATTGAAAAATTCATACTGATAACAGCAGGAATCTCGACGAGACAAACGAACATTGAAGCTTAAGGCTGGCATATATTAAGGAATGAAGTTTCCCAATAGATGCATCGCAAGAGATTGTAACCTCCTGATGCATCGAGATGACAACGGGATCGAAAAGTACTCTATACCTAGGCCTGAAGGTATGAAGTCCGACACGCTATCCAGGCAACAATAACGAGAACAACAATAAATATCGAGTTTGGCTTAATTCAGAATTTGCTGCATCATCAGTATTCTGGTCGTACAGTTTGCCTCTGTATCCGACTAGCAAACAAACATCAACACGCTGAGCCTTTAGTTTTGATTTTAGCAACCATTGATCAAAAATCTCTCGTTGTTGTTATATTAGCATAAGCAAAATACAGTATCTTACGGTCCAACGAGACATTTGTCTAAAAACTTCCATCTCACTGAGCTTGAATATGGCGTTTTCAATCCCTCCTCCGAGGAAAGGCGCTCAAAAAAAGTGAGCAATATGCTTTACCTACCTGTAGCGAGCACTGTACCGCCTGCCTCAGTAAAAATGTTCAATCTCTCTTTTCCGCGACACACACACAGTCTGCTCTATTCAAAATCGTCTAACTACAATTTCAAGAAATTGCAAAGGGAAGGTCCCTCTCAGGGTGACGGTGACATCAGTCACGATTCTGGGAATCTAATTTGGTCTCGATTTCCCTCCCCCGCAGACAACTCAAACACATCCATTGACAACACAAACACTGAAATATTTGTTTTCATGCAACCGGCTAACAGGGAGAAATAAAGGATGTTGACCTGGTTCGATCTACAATCTTAATTAAACCCAACACGAAGGGATAGAAGGTATCCACCAGATTCGAGCTGGAACTGCGATCTAAAATCTTAAGGCAGAGACAAGTTCATTATCAAAGCGAAAACCTTTTCAATATTATTGTCTCGGTTCACTGAATCGCAATGTTATGACCTTATTTCTTTCCGTTTCGGTTTCGAAAAGACAATGGCATTGCATCATCTGAAACAACTGTAACATTCGATCAGCAAATTTAAGCGGTAACAGTTTGTGTCTTTGCATTTCAGAAATTTAAACAGAAATTCGGATCAAAATGAATCTCTCGTTATAAAGTATTTGGCCTCAACTTATAATTATTTGGTAATAAACAAATCGCTTTCATTCCTGGAAATGTCCGGCACTAAATACTATATCAATATAAAATCTGAAATTTACAAGATGATAATCTTACTATCATTTTTGCAGAAATAAGTTCATTGTAAAGCGAAATCCTTCCATATGTCATTCTTATCTTATATTTGTTGAAGAGCAATTTTAGTGACCTCGTGCGCTTTTCTTGTCTGTTTTCGATTTCGAAATGACAATGGCATTACATCATCTGAGCATCCACAAATCTCGTCAGCGGTGGCACTTCGCTTCATTGCTTTCATAAAGTAATGATTCCACACAAAGTGGATCTCCTGTCTAGAAGCATTTATATATAACAGGATCCAACCAATATTTTAAAAAAAAAAAACAAAACATCTCTTGTATTCCCGGAAATGTCACAAAATGCTATATTTAGATAACATTTGGATTTTGCAAGATGCTTATGTTACCATTGTTGCAGCCCAGTCTTCATAACACGTCAAGTACAGTTTTAAAAGTCGACCTCGACTGGTAGTTACGGTAATGGTTCATCTTCAGAATATGTTAATTTAAGATCAGTAGCTACAGATTTCACTCTAGAAGCCACCAGCATCGACTTGCATGACCACAGTTTTAGTAACGCCGCAAGCCCTTTTTACTGTTCGTTGTAACGATAGTGCAATCTCCACCAAGCTGAGGAGGATTAATGGTGAGCAAGAAGCTCAAAAACTCGGGTCTCACCTCAGAGACAGCATAGGACACTGTTTTGGCTTTTTTAAAAAGCAGAGAGTGTCAGGGAATGATTATGGTGTCAAAGATACCTTTAAGTCGCCAGAACATGATATCTTAATATCAGTCTGTAGGAAACTGCCGATTTGATTTAGCGGGCGTGCAATTTCATAGACCCTCACTGGACAATATCACTAGCCCAGGCACTAAATTCCCAGTAGTATTGACTTCTACTTCATACTCATGATCAGGTATTTCCTATCAAGTTCTTTATTGTTGGCTAAGGAAACTACACTTAAAAAAAAAAAGCAGTGACAACAACTACATAATTCAAGCCTAGAACGATATTTGTGGCTAGGATGACGCAATTTGAGACCTCCTTTAGGTAATCTTTTCAATTCAGCCTTCAAATAAAAGCAAAAGTTCTACAGAGTCCATCATGCAAATCAAAAGAGGTTCAGTAAGGCAGCACATTAGCCTCATGATTCGGTTAAAATGAATAACCTTATATCAACAGTGATATACATAGTCGCTAACTGACTAAATTTAACAGGGAAATATCATTGTGATTGTGCTGTTGTAATTGTTTCGTTCAATGTTATCCACTGAATTTCTAACAGTTTATTCCCCTGCCCCTCAGTGATCTGTCTATGTCTATAGCTTCGTTCAGTTAAACAAGTCTCTTTTCCACATTGGAACATTCTTCAAGTCAAATTTAAAAGAGGGCTATTTGCAACAATATGACCATCCGCACGATTCGTTTGTCTTTATACAAAAAAATTTCAATAGAATATCAGAACAGATCATTAGCATGGTTATTAAGTATTTATGATTCAAATTGAACGAATAAGTCTCCCTTAATGGAAACCATCATAATCAAGCTCTAAGACATTCTAACTCTCCCTGATCATCTTGTGCCTTTTTTGATAAGAGAGAGAAACAAATGACGAGTATATGCGATCTTTGAATTTTTCCCGATATTTTTCCCGTTCTCATGATCTGTGAAGGTTTGAGAGTTTCGAACAAGTAGTTAAGTCCTTAATTTGTTCTTGACTACAGAGGTACCCTACTGTAAAGGCCCTTGTCTCTTAGATTCTTCCTCTTGGTGCTTCCTTCGTAAAATCCTCTTGAAATATTTAATAATTAAGCTAAGGAACGTGTGATAAAAGCGGACGAATGTATTTCGATTGGTCGTTTCGGTGCTATCATGACTGTCGGTCACATCCCCCAAAATTTCTTGAACGATTCTTTGAGAGGAAGGTTCGTCCAGGTATATGGAAGAAGAAACATTCATTTCAGACCTTTCACCTTCAGATGGTATTTCGGGCCGTCTTTCAGATTCTTCATGGGCATCCACATGGTTTTCCAAAGTCACCTCGTGGAACGTATGATTCAAAGCTCTTATGGCAGCGCTTTCGGGATCGTCTTCGTCGAAATTCGAGCCATGAGGAAATGACAGTCGATCAGCACTTGATAGGAGAAAAGCAGCCTTTGCTACTTTGCTGATGCGTTTGAACACCGTCACCCAAAATGCCGTCTTCCAGTCGTTTCTGTCTGGCAGTCTGAGCTCCATGGAGTCCCCAGTTGGTACAAATGGCACTTAAATGGCAACCTCTTCAGGCACTCCACAGTTGTGGATCAGGGCTTGCCGAAATGTCTTCTTCAGACCTTGGAACTTTTCACCAAACACCTCTTTATCCGAGACGCCTTTCAGCTTCTGGCTTGCTGATGCAACAACCATGTCAGCAAACGTTAACACAATTACTGCGTGGTTCCAAATCTGAAAACCTAAGGCTGTCGACAGCTTCTTCATTGTCTCTAAGTCGTCGTTACGAAATCTTGTACCATTCATCTCAGTACAGAACAGAATAAGATCGAACTCTATCTTTTTTTCTTTGATCTTCTTTATATATTCTTCGTCATTGCCTTTTTCGTATCTGCCAGTCCTGGAGTGTCAAACACCGTAATCTTCACGTTGTTCTTTGAAAATTCATAAGCTCTCACCTAAAAATCATGAATCATGGGGCTTAAGCTGCCTAGTCTTTAAGGATATACTAATAATAGCATAATGAGATATTGAGGAAAAAAACTCTTTCAGACAGTTTGCTTATATTACTACCGGGGATTTGTGCCTAAGACTGAAGGAATGTCCTTCTCGTGAACAGTTCGCCGGTAGAAAGTCTTGAATTCTCAAAACCTTTGGAACCGATTTTAGCTTGAACTAAATCCTTGTCACGTTACTTAGGTATTTTTCTTGACACTTGCAGCACTTCACTCTACCTAGCTAAGGGGTCATGGGTGTGGTATCTCGCTTTATTCCCTCTGCTCCTACCTTGCAATGTCATTTTGAAGAATGTTACGAGGGTACTTGATTCCTACTTCATATGGCTCAAGTTTCTTGTCCGAATCCTTAGATCAATTTTCAATTTTTTCATTCCAATATCACGTTTATAAGTGATCAAAATGTAACTAAATCTTTCTATACGTTTATAATTTAGTTAAACTTGCCTCAGCGGTTTTGGATCAAAATCTTCTCCCTCCTCAGCAAGCTGTTCACCGATTAGAGCATTCGTCAAGTGAGATTTTCCAACTCCTGTTTTACCGATTAATAGTATTTTGATAGCGTTGCCAAAGCAAAACGTCATCAGGTGATCCAGTTGATACTTGAGACTTCTCTTACAGAGTAACTTCTGCTGTTCTTCCTTTCCAGCCAAAGTCCTCGATTTTCTTTTCAGGGCTCCCTTCTCCGCCATTACAATATAAACTATGTCAAAAAAAAAACGTATGATATTCATTGAATTTAGAAAAAAGTGAAATTGATGATCTTTTTGTTACAGTTAAATTTGATATTTGAATCATCCTCATAGAACATTTACCCTACAGTGTTATATTAATTTGTACAGAAACAGTTCAGATTATTTTAAAAGACACTGACCTTAATAAATCAGGATAAATAAGTAAAGTTAGAAAGTTTCAGACTTTGAGGCCAGAAGGGAAAATCTTACAGTGGGCTAAAAGACCATAGAAAACTTCATAGATTGAAGCCTGAGTGAAGGCCAAAGCATATTCCTCCCTTACAAATCATTCCCCCTTTCACTTCGACTTCTACTAAAAAGGTATGGGCCTAAACACCAGCATGACTCAGACCAGTCTTTCTTACTTAAAAAAAAGGCAGCTATCTGAAATGGGCTGAATAGTTTGTTTATAAAGCAGGTCACGTTACGAAAATTTACAATAATAAAACATAATCGTTAATTGTGAAAAATAAAGCTTTGTTAAAACGAAAGTAAACATGCCCGTGGTCATCTCTTGCATAATCTTTCCTTGATTATATCTACGGGCTATATCTATGGGCTGAATAATTTTTTTTACAAAGCAGGTCACATTACAAAAAAAATAATAGTGGGCCTAAAACATAATCGTTCATTGTGTAACTGAAACGAATCATTGTTAAAACGAAAGTAAACATGCCCGCAGTCATCTCTCATATCATCTACGCTTTTAATGAGCTTTTTGCGTTGTTCCTCTTCCCGCGAAAATCAGTCAAATGTAACTGAACGTTGATTAAGCAGCGATCAGAGAGGATGCGAAAGATACGTAAAAGGCAATCGCGCGAAATTCTTCGGGATACATTTCCAGCAAAGGTTGACCTTTCCATACCGTGACAACTTACAAGTCAAAATAATAAATCTTGGCTAAGGCCAAATGAATAAGAATTGAACTGAAGTG